TATCGTTTATGACTCCGCTGTACAAAAACATGTTCTTTATCCAATTCATCCATTCCTTGACCTTTCTTTTTAGCTTCTGTGATCGCCAAAAAATCTAATTGTGCTTTATCAAATTCATCTATTAATTCTCTCTCTTTTCCATTGAGGCTTCTGACGTTCCACGTAGCCATTTTTATGTACGTTTGTAGTCTATTTGCACCTTGATCTTGTATTATATTTTCTTTTTTGTCCAATTCAATTATATCGTTAAACCTTATTCTCGCCTTGTTTGGTATTCCATGTTGATTAGTTCTATTTGGCCGATGGTCTGCTATTTCTTCCTGGCTTTGTTAAGAGCCTTCATCTCCCTGTTCTACGTCCATACTTCTCCATTTATTATAAGTTTTTAAAACCCCATTTGGACTGTATTTCTTTTACTCTTTTCTTCCTTAGCTTTAGCTCTAATTTCTTTTTGAATAATTCTCTGCTGTTCGCTCATATCATCATTTATATATACTTTGTGTTCTCTAATATTTCTTACTTTGCCTTTATTGTTCATAAATTAGAACTTACGTCTCAATATTATCGATTTCATTGATCCATACTGGAAGGCGTTGAGACTCTTCCGAAAAACCGGAAAAACATAGAAAATAAAATTCTCAATTATTGACATTTTAGAGCAGTGTATTAACTTACCAGACATGTATTAAAGAAATTAATTTAAGGAACTACATGGCATATACAAAATATTTTGTAAACAAAAATATTTTAAGTTCGATACCTCAAATGACAAATAAAATTAGTGTTTTTCCCATCAAATTAAAGGTACTAAAACTCTGAGAATTGAAGAGATAGGTATGTGCCTTTTGCAAGATATACCAAATTAAACCCAATCCTAATTAAATCAAAGTGGAAAAAATCTTCTAATTAGTAAGGATATTAGCAAAGATACAAATGCGGTGAAAATGCCTTTATGAGAGCTGAGTAGTTTAAAGACTGAAGAATTCTCGGAATCCCGCCGTGAACGTCCATCAAGGATTTGACAAACCAAGGCTCTGCGATGGAGAATTATTAACTGTGTGGTAATCATTTTTTGTTCATTAATGGATTTTAAGGTTCAGCAATTTTGCCAATTATCGAAGCAACAGAAGTGAAGTTTGTTCGAAAAATTTGTAGTTGCAATTAGAAATTAATTTAGAGAGCAGATGAATATCTACCGGCATACACTAATAAAAAGCTTCTTTATTAATACGATATATATACAGGATGTTTTAAAGCAAGCCTCAGTATAGAGATACAATTTATTTAAAGGCTATATATTTATACATATTTTTCTATTAATTTCCTCTAAAACACAAATAAGTTAGGTTAACTTGTAACATTGAAAAGAAAAGTGTAGGTTATAACAATAGGAAGTAAGAATTCCCACTCTTGAGATAGGAAGCTAAGTTTGAAACACTTGCTTCTTATACCTTTTGCTTGTATTTTCATCAGATAGATTCATTGGAAAAATTGCAATTACAAATTGCAATTGCAAATAAATACGTATGTCACGCTTCTCAGTGTGGTAATATACATAGATAAATTTATTAGTCGAATACCTCGACAAAAAAATATTAAAAACTAATACTTACCAAAACAATGACGAGGAATTCAATACGAAAAACTCTTTTATAGCAGCAAAAAATAGGATTATCAAATACTACAACAAAATAAATTTGGTGTACTATATTTCTCTAGTAATTGATCCTTACCACAAATTGGGAGCTTTTGATTTATCGAAATGGAGTCGTTCCTTAAAACAAGAAACAAATACAACAATAAGAGAATTAAATAAAAAATATAAAAAAAAACAGCCTCAACTTGGAAGCAACAAACAAGGAAGTTTGATCTTCTTCTGAGTCCTCTAGTATCGAGGACGTTGTTAAAATTTTGTCACTCATTTACATTAAAAAAATTTGTCACGTTATTACAAGAAAAGTATGCGATCAATATCTAGCAGAAGAACGGGAAGACAGAAACATGGACATCTATTTCTGATGGAAAGAAAATCAGGATAAATTTCACATCATTGCTCGTTTGGCCAGGGATATCCTATCAATTCCAGCTACGTTTGTCCCAGCATAAAGGCTCTTTTCCAGAGCCGGCGTGACCATGAGGAAACAAAGAAGCCGGATAAACGGTCAGGCTAAAGATTATGATATGTCCTCTAATGAAGATGAGGAAGAAGAAGACGAAGAAGCTTGCATCTTTTGCAACGAGATGTATAGAAATTGTTTCGATCAGGAAGGATTTGGTGCTGTTATTGGGGCCACAGCGACCTTTACTTCCTTTACTTAAGGAAGTAAAGGTGGCTGTGGCTGGGCACATGAAGCTTGTTCAAGATGTGAAGATAATGATGACACTTTTATATGCAATTTTTGATTAAAGTTTGACTTAATACTACCACTACCTACTAATACCTACTGTATAATAATGTTCAATATTTCATTACATGTTTAATTAAAAAATAACCCAATATTTTATGTATCCCATTTTAATCAACCTATCTTACAAAACGAGGTATTTGCACATTTTCAAAAATGGCTATTTCTGTCCTCATGTAATTTTTGTTAAATACACAATATTTAATTTTGGTACATAAAGACACACTATAACCACATCTTCTTCTTCTTTTTGATCTGTGGTTGTTGTGTTGGACCACGTTCGTAGATTTTTTAGCCAGAAAATCCTTCCCATTCCTGATCCTTGTTTTCTTTTTACTTTTCCTTGTAAAATTAATTACAGCAAAATGTTTCTTTTGCTGTTCCCCATTATTTGATCGAGGTATTCAATTTCGGGTGTTTTTTTTTGTGGTTAACTCTTTTTCTTTTTGTATTTTTGATAAAACGTTCTGGTTAGTAACGTGATCGATATAGAATATCTTTAGGATTCGACCATAAAGCCACATTACGAAAGCCTCAATTTTCTTGTAGGTAGCGTCTGTAGGACAACGTAACTCTGTACAACAGTATAGAAAAAATATAGCATCGTAGTAACCTGATTTTAATGGGTTCTGGTAAATCATGGCATTTGAATAGCTTGGCTATTTTTTGAAATGCAGATCTTGATTTCTCTATCCTACATTTGATTTCTAGGGGATGGTCCCAATTTTCATTGACGTTCTTACCAAGATAGGAGTATGGTTTTACTCTTTCTATTTCTTGACATTAACACTGATTCTTTCATCATCATACATTTTGTTCTCTTAATGTTCAGTGAAAGTCCAAATCTCTGACTCACTTCTGTGATTCTTTTTATTAACTCCTGGAGGGCTTCATAACTGTCAGCGAATACCACCGTGTCATCCGCGTATCTGATGTTATTGATACATTCTTCGTTAATTCGAGTTCCTGCTTCAACATTCCCTACTGCTTCTTGAAAGATTTTCTCAGAGTAAATGTTAAACAGCAAGGGTAATAGTATACATCCCTGTAAGACCTTACGTTTGATTTTAATATTATTAGATTCTCCTGCATCTGTACGAAGAGACAATGTTTTATTCCAGTAAAGATTGCTAATAATTCTTAGATCACATGTGTTTATTCCAATATTTGTTAATATCTCCATCAGCTTGTCGTGATTTGCTGTATCGAATCTTCTTCTTCAGATGCAAATCCACTAATGGATGTTAGCGATCACATTTTCCATTAATTCTCTATTTCTTGCAATATGTATCAGATATTGTATGTCGTTCATCCCTGTCCATTGCCTTATGTTTCGGAGCCAGGACATTTTCTTGCGTCCCATTCCTCTCTTGCCTTCAATTTTACCCTCGATTATAAGTTGTAGGAACTGGTATTTTTCATTTCGCATGATGTGACCTAGATACGCCGTTTTCCTTTTCTTGATGGTTTCGAAAAGTTGGCGTTCTTGGTTTATTCTTTTAAGGACATCTATATTTGTGATTTTCGCTGTCCATGGTATTTTTAGGATACGGCGATAAAGCCAAATTTCGAAAGCTTCTAATCTGTTTATATCCCTCGTTTTGAGTGTCCAGCCCTCTACGCCATATAGCAGCACTGACCATACGTAGCACTTAATAAACTTTAGTCTCAGTTGAAGATCGAACTCTGAACAAGTCTGTATCGAATGCTTTATGGTAATTAATAAAGCATGCATAAATATGGCAATTCACATCTCTACATCGTTGAAATAGCTCTTGTATGCTATATGAGTTCAGCATATTCGTTGCAAGTTAAAGGAGCTTTGCCATCTTCTAGTTGCGATATTGCTTTTTCCACTTCATCTGATGTGAATGGTAATTTATCATTACATATGTAGGACGGAAGTTGGAGGTTGTCGGACATCATCAAAGAGTACTTGTATGTATTAGGTATATACGCATATTTCTTGATTTTTATCTGTTATGATGTTCCCCTGTCTGATCTTGTAGTTAGCTAGCTCTGTTGCATTTTTAAAGACCAGCTGCTTGTTTAACCTTTTTGTGCATATTAAATGTATCGTGTTTTTGCTCCAACAACTATATCTCTTTACACTGTATTTTTATCCCATTTTCTTTGGCCTTTCGGCCAAAGTTTTGGTGTTCCGGCTCCTATTTGTCTCTGAATAATTTTTGTACAATTTTTTGTTATGTTTTGATTTTATTCTTCCTTCCATCAGTAATGTGAGATGTTAATCTTTATTAATTGTTAGCTTCTTCGTTCCGTAAAATTATATTTTTTTTAAATCTTCTGTGTATAAATCCTTAGGGAAACGACTTATTGAGCTCGATTTTCTGTTAGGATTACACTATAAAAAAGGTCAAACTGTAGTCCTTCCAGTTCTTCCATAATTTTAAATACAACAGAAAACAATAATATTAGCAATAATATAATATTAATAATAATAATATAAGAATATGATGACATGTTAAAAATTGCTTTAATACAATCTCACAATGGCACATTACTACCCTAATAACAATTTGGTATTTCCTTGAATATGTTTATGGTGCACACGTTTTTGCAATCGGAGATAGCGTGAAATCGCTTAAAAATTAAAACTAAGGATAATTGGAAATATGAGTTCACTTTTTAAAATAATATAAATATTAAGATATCACCATCGTGCTTAATGGCAAGTAAGTTTAGCGTATTTAAGGAAAGTTAGCTGTTTCAGATATATTTTCTTGCTTGATCTTGGTGTATGTAGTTCGTTTTCGGCACTTCTTTATCATGAGAACTGTAAGTAAATTTTAAATGCATTATATATTATTTTAATTTCACAAATTATTATTTTTTTTTAATTTTAAAATTTTACATATGCATAACTATTCGTAAGTAGACAGAGGATCCAATAAATTGTCTACAGCCAATCATTAAATTTTTAAAATAATAAATTTTTTGCATATTATAATCCAAGTAAATATAAAGTATGATCTGGTGTCAAGTAAATATAAAGTCAAAAAATCAAAATTTGTGTTTTGGTTAAACTTTTTTAATCCATAGTGCCCTATAACATCTGGTATGTAACTATACTTTCATTAATAATGAAGACACTGTGTAGTGCCTTTTTGGTAGTCCCCTTTTTTGTTTCTTTTGTCCTATTCCTGATATCCCTCCCCTTCATTTAACGTATGACACGCTCCAATCGGACCAATAACAAAGGAGATGTTAGTTAATGAAATTTCGTATACCACATACAAGTTTAAAAAATCTTAATTTTTTCTTTGAAAATTTTGTTTAATGATTTTAGTAATTTTCAAAATTTGTTAAATATAAAATAGAATTTATTCATCATTTACATTTTCATTATTATTTTGTATTTATGTTTAATTACTTTATTTTGATTATCATTATATTTTACTAAAATGGTTTTAAAAAATTGAAAACATAAATATGTTGTAATTCTGGGAGTACAAGCACAGCTTTCTTATCGTATATTTTACTTAATTTAATTTACTTAATTTTCCTTAATTTTATTTTATCGTGTTACATTTTACACAGATATTTATACAAATATTTTAAAATAAAAATTACCAAAAGTCGATCCCGTATTTCCCCAGTTGTTTTAAAAAAATTAAATGACGTCTTATGAAATTGATATACGTATAAAAACCAGCATGTCCCGGGTTTCTCATTATATTTTAACTCCCACTTATTTTCCTTAATTTCGGAAATACAAAAAAAGTTTCAAATAAAAATTGTATTATTTTATCTGTATTAAAATTTATTATATATTATTTATTCATTCAAAAGTTAACTCAGTATTGATAATTCAGAATATGCGACAAATTTTCAGTGTAAAATGGAGATTGAAATCCTAGATTTACGTAAATCTAGAACTTTATTCTTATTAATTTTAAGTATTAAACTACCTACATATCAACAGTTTTCCATAATTAGGTATTATAATCTACTAAACATATTTATTTCATAACTATCTTTACTAGTTTCTATACGTCAAAGACATGAAAACGCCGATTAAAAGTCAATTCAGACACATCAGTCCCGTCACAGTCTCTTCGCCGAACCGGTCCTGTTTGGTCACAGAACTATTAATTATTTTACAGCTGGGAAACTGTTCGTCAACTGATGAATGTGAATGCCGGCGGCATATTTCTATTAAAGAATATTTTGTATGACGGATTGTTCGGTTCGGCGTCAGGACTGTGACGAAACGTGACTGATGTGTCTGAATCGACCTTTTCAATGCTACGATTCAAATTACTGTACTCTCTTGACGTAATTTCGGGCTTAATGTTCATTGGTTAGTCGGAGTAGGCAACCGTAGTAGGTCTACGAACCGTGGCAAGTACCTGCGTTTGAACAGCTCAAAAATGGGAGAGAAATATAACAATATTAAGGCTACATGGATTTAAATTACATAAAGGGTAGCTGACTAAAAATGTATTTCTATTAAAAATATTTTAACTGTTGTAGTTTACAACAGTTTCTCATGGCATTCTATAATAAAGCGGTGAATAGTTTAGGAGAGATAGTATCTCCTTGCCTAGTACCCTTATCCAAATGAAATGTATGTGTGTCATCTTCAGTATCGTTTATTATAAGTTTCTACTTTAGTTTTCTTTATTTAGACATATTATACTAGTCGATTTTTAATGGTATATATTCTACTTTTCACTCAAAAAATGAAGTCCCTAATAAGTTATAAACAATTTTTATATAATCACAATAATAGTAATTTCTTTTTCAGGTACAATTGTATTTCATTTTAGCTTTCTACATTTTTACTGGTAAGTTTTTTTGAACTTATTTTATAATTAATATAAAAGAAAAAAAAATAACGTTGTAGAAACATGTAACAAATACGGCCTAAAACAAAATTTCAAGAAGACAAAAATAATGATCATTAGTAAGAACACTAATATAAACGCCCAAATTACAATAGACGATACAACGTTAGAAAGAGTGGAAAAATATATTATTTGGACTGCAATATTAAGGATACTTGTTATCACAAAAACTCGTATTGAAAAAGCCAGAAGCTCTTTCAATAGCCTTAGGAAGATTCTCTGCAACTTAGTTTTAAGTATAGGATACACGCATAGGAATTCGTAGATGTTTCGTCTTTAGTGTCCTCCTCTATGGAGTAGAAAGCTGGAGCCTTACAGAAGATGCCATAAAACGATTAGAGGCATTTGAAATATGGTGCTACCGATGTACGTTGAGAACTATTCTCCAGAGGATAAGAAAAGGCAAATAAATTATTAACACTGTAAAGAACAGAAAATTAGCTTACTTCGCCCATATCATGCGTAATAATAAATACCGACTTCTACAGTTGAATGTACAAGGCAAAAAAAAAACACAAAAAACACAAAAAACACAAAAAACCGGCTTGGGCCACCAAAAAAACTAACAAAAACCCCAAAACCCGGGCACGTAGGGCCCAACCCCTTGAGCACCAAGTCGCCGAACTGAGCCGGGACTCATAGCGGGGACTTGAGGTCCAAGTAAGCAATTTTAGTTCTCGGATAAGCCACATTAAGATAACAGGAATATAGCGGAGATGCGCTGTCCTGAGTTTTTGCATTCGGTTAGGAAACCATGTTGGGGTTCTATTACCCAGGACCTCCACATGAAGAGCATTTGGCTGATTGTTGTGCCTCTATAGCGCATCAGAGTTCTATAGGGGGGAAAGGGATGGTCTAGAGCATTGGAGCACGGTGGGGTGACTCCTGTTTTTACTCGAGTTAACACACCTTGCTCCAATGAATTTTTACACCCGATCGTACTACCTGGGTGAACATTTCTCATAGGCTGGGTTCAATTAAATTGCTTGCTTGCTTGATTGTACAAGGCAATATTGAGTAAAAAAGACCCTGGATGTAGACGTACATCTTGGCTGGCCAATCTTAGAAAGTGGACTGGTCTAACGTGAACAGATCTATTTCGACCTGCTGTGATTAGAATAAGATGGGCCACTGTAGTCCCCAACATCTCTAGAAGATAGGCACGGTAGGCAAGAACAATTTGTAGTTAAAAGTCGAGACAATTAAATATGGGTGGATTTTGCATATATTCCGATGATAGCTGATAAATTTTTTGAAGAATTCTTATGTAAATGGCGTTATCTTATGTAAACTACTGCCTTCGATGCAAACTTCTTCTTCTTCTTTAAGTGCCATCTCCGCGACGGAGGTTGGCAATCATCATGGCTATTCTGACCTTCAAGGCAGCTACTCTGAACAATTGCCTTGAGCTGCAACCAAACCACTCTCTCAGGTTCTTCAACCAAGAAACGCGTCTTCTTCCTACGCTTCTCCTGCCCTCTATTTTTCCTTGAGTTATGTTTAAAAGTATATTTCTGTTAAAAGTTAATATTGTTACATCTTTTTTCTGCAACCGTCCCGAAAATAAAACTTGGGGTATGATTTATTAAATGGAAAGTATTTAATTAATTTTTTTAAGTAATTTAACAGCTGACCAAAACATAGATTATTCGTTATGAAAGGCAACAAAAAGAATGAAGAGACCAATTATTCATTCTCCTCCTATCAAGTTGGAAAATGGCAACTAGACTAGAACTAACGAACAGAAAGCTAAACTATTTGCAGATCATTTGGAAAGCACGTTCAAATCCAACGACAATGATTGTGAAGAACTGAGATGGGAAGAACCATTTCAAACTGAAGAAATAATAACGTTGACATTACTTAGAGAAGTGTCAACAGAGATAAAAGAGAATATAAATTCTACGAAAGCTCCAGGATATGATCTCATAACAGAAGAACTATTAAAAAATCTACCAAGAAAAGCCATAGTTAAGCTGACACACCTAATAAATGCTGCTTTTAGATTGAGATATGTTCCCAGACTCTGGAAAGTAGCCGAAGTGATTATGATCGCCAAACCAGGTAAACCTCCTAATGAAGTGACATCCTATCGACCAATATCACTCCTTTCAATTATGTTAAAACTATTTGAAAAACTTCTATTGAAAAGTATAAAAACTTATATTGAAAAGAGTAAAACCAATAATAGAAAGAAAAAATCTTATACCAAATCATCAATTTGGTTTCAGAAATCTACATTCCACTATAGATTAAGTTTACACAATAACGAATATAATAGAAAAAACATTAGAAGAAAATAAAGTCTGGCATGACGGTTTAAACTATAAACTAAAAACATTCATGACTAAACAGTATTCAGAAATCTTGAAATCATACATTGCGAATAGATATTTTAGAGTAAAACAAGAAGAAGTGTACACCTACTTAAGGAAAATCAAAGCTGGCGTACCACAAGGGAGTGTCTCAGGTCCAGTCCTGTACCTATTGTATACGTGTGATATTCCAGAGCTAGAACAAAATACTATTGCCACCTTCGCGGATGATATAGCCATACTAGCAATAGCAGACACTAGTGAAGAAGCAACTGATAAGTTGCAACTAACAGTAAATAAAATACATAACTGGACCAGAAAATGGCGAATAAAATTAAATGAGACTAAATCTGCACACATTAACTTTACAAATAAAAAATAGAAAATTTACCAGTTAGAATAAATGATACCCGAATTCCTTATGCAACATCAGCAAAATACTTGGACATCACCCTAGACGCGAAGCTGCGCTGGAAAGTCCATGTCAAAAAGAAAATAATAAATTATCCATTTATAAGCAAGTACTGAGGCCTGTATGGGTGTATGGGTGCCAACTCTGGGGCTGTACCAAAGCTAGTAATCTACATATCATCCAGAGATTTCAAAACAAAGTACTGAGAAACATTGTTGATGCTCCTTGGTATATCCGTAACAGCAACCTTCACCCGGACCTGGATATGGAAACTTGAAGAGAACAGCAGCAAGTCACGAGGAGAGGCTGCATAGTCATGTGAATGTCGAGGCAATCCAGCTTGCTGCTACTATTTAGTGCTGTTTCTCATTAAATGTCCTAGATAATCGAACTTTCTCCTTTTAATGGTATACATCACCTCTCTTTCGTTTTCCATTCTTCGTAGTAAAATCTCGTTGGTTATCTTGTCCGTCCATGATGTCCCTAGGATTCTTCTGTATAGCCACATTTCCAAGGCTTCAAGTTTTTTCTCCATCGCTTCAGTGAGTGTCCAGGATTCAACTCCGAAGTATAACATTGAGAAGATATAATATCATAGGAGCTTTACTTTTATCTCCAGATTAAGGTTGTGGCTTTTAAAGGGGTTGGCCATGTTGTTGAATGCACTCTTAGCCTTCTCCATTCTATATTTTACTTTTTTTGTGAGTGATCCCATTGTTTACTATTGTTTCAAGATAGTTAAACTGTTACTCGGTCCACTGGTGTATTCTTGATAAGCAGTTGGACGTTTCTAATTTTATTTTTGCTGATGACCATACTTTTAGTTTTTGATATGTTTACTTGTAGTCCAAATCTTTCACTTACTTCATTAACTTTGTTTATTAGATGCTGTAAACTGTTTAAGCTGTCTGCAAAAATGCCGGTGTCATCTGCATAGCGGATTTTGTTTAGGCGTTCTCCGGTTAAAAGGATTCCATGTTAGCAATTTTCTTAGGCTTTACTAAATATCTAAATATTACCTCTGAATACAGGTTGAATAGTATAGGTGAAAGTATATATCCTTGTCTAACGCCTTGCAGAATCTGGATCGCTTCCGTCGGTTTATTGCCAAGATTTGTTCTTATTGTGGCAGATTGGTTCCAGTAGAAATTTTGTATTATACACCGGTCTTTATCATCTATTTCGGCTTTTGTTAGAACATCCATTATTTTTCAACGTTAAACTGTCTCAAATACTTTTTGCTAGTCCACAAAGCAGGTGTAGTAATCGCAAGTCATATCTCTGCATCTTTGGAATAATATATGTAGACTAAACAGCCCATTTCTCGTACCAACGCCTTTTATGAATCTAAACTGTGTGTCTTGTATTCTCTATTCGCATAGCTTATATATTCTGCGATGTATAATTTTAAGAACAAGTTTTAGTGTATGGCTCATTAGACTTATTAGCTTATATTATCCGCACTTTTTCGCTCCCTGTTTCTTTGATAACTTAATAAATTCTCAAACTAGCCAATCTTTTGGAATATTGCCTAAGTCATAGATATTATTGAAGATTTTACATAGTATTCTTAAAGATTTATCATCAAGAAGTTTAGGAAATTCAGCTTATACTCCGTCTGGCCCTGGAGCTCTCCCTTTTTAGTGTAATATTATGGCTACTCTTATTTCTGCCACACAGTACTTCTGTTTCCGTAGATATTGGGGACTCATTCTCCCTCTCATCAAAAAATAAATTTTGTATGTAATTTTTCCAGGTATTTTCAATACTCTCTTTGACCACGATGACCTCTCCGTTGCCATTAACAAGTTTACTTACTCTTTTGTTTCTACATTTGCCTGTAATGTTTCTTACCTTTTTATGCACGTTAAAGACGTCGTATTTACTTTGTATGATTTCAATTTCTTGGCATTTTTTCTCCAGTTCTTTCTGTTTAGCTTCTCTGGTCTTTCTCTGTGTATCTCGTTGTAATGTTTTATACATAGAGTTATTGTTCTTGTTTTTCTTTTTTCTTCCATTAGCTGCAGCATCTCTGTCGTTATCCATTTCTTACTCGTACCTTCTTCGTTCTTTATAAAATTGTCTTTAATGTCGTCTATCGTTTTATTAACGAATTTTATTTTCTCTTCTGTGCTTTTCGTTAAATTATCGATTTCTTTAAATTTAATATTTATTGTTTTGCTGACTATTTCTTTTACTTCACTACATTTAACTTTTCTCATGTCATGTTTTTTTTTACATTTTTTCTGCGTATTTTCTTTAACTTGGCTCCATACACGCCCACTAAAGGATTGTGGTCAGATTGAATATCAACGCCTGGGTAGGTTTTAACATTGTTGAAACTATTTCGATATCTTTTAATAACAAGTATATAGTCTATTTGGTTTCTTATAATAATATCTTCTCCGTTGTCTTTATATGATTTCCACGTATACAGGTGTCTAGGTGGTAGTTTCTAGACAACTTTAGAAAAGCAAAATAAATATAAAAATCATTTATATGATTAATAAAAAACATGATTAATTCTAGATTTACTTACAGTTTCAACCGCTCCGGTTCCAGATGTTGAAGATGATGTAGATAGTGTTTGGATTGATGAAGATGGTAAGTGATTTGGCCCTAATTCCGCTCTTTAACATTAAATTTCATTGTATGTGTGTGTATATGTGACAGAGAGAGAAATACACGCAGAGAGAGATAAAGCAATACAGAGAGAGAGAGAGAGAAAGAGAGAGAGAGAGAGAGAGAGAGAGAGAGAGAGAGAGAGAGAAAGGTAGAAAGTGTGACATCAGACAAAATCTAGGTCACAAAACATAAAATTGTTAAAATATGTGTACATTGTAGCGTGTTTAAATAATATATTAATTAATTACTATTAAACTGGGAATAAGCCACAATTAAAGATAAAAATACGTTTATTGACGTTTCAATTTCCACTTCGGAAATCGTTCTCAAAATACAAAAAGGTAAATTAAACAAATTTTGGTTTTTGTTACATAGTGAAAAATTCTTCTAATAATTTAATTTTATCTGACTCAATTATATTGACAATTCAGACATACATTATGCATTTTAAAGTAGACGACTTTAAAATGATATTGCCAATATTGTTGAGTTGCGCTCCTGGGACGACTTTACTTATAAGATAGTTCATTCAATTACATGAAATCAACTTTAACTTAAGAATATCCGTCAGAAAAAAATCATACCATGTAATTCGTCTTTAAAAAAAAAAAACACATGACATGATGACAGTAAAATTCTCCTGTTAGTGATTCGATAGTAAATTATGAGGGAAAATCAGGAAAAAAACCTCATAATACTATCCCGACATTGTAAGTATTTGTTCGTGAATTTAGTTTACCTTCAACAAACATCAAAATTCTGATTTTATATGTTACGTTATTTAATAAACATAAATGATGTATCCTCTATTATGTTACTGACTTACTAATACTGGTATTTTCTTATTAATAACTTCCTCTTTCAATATTGGTAACCAGATCCTACTACATTCTGCCGAGGAATTTGCGACACAATTGGCCTCATTTAGAATAATTAGAGCCGCTTCTTTGATTTTTCTTTTTTTACCATCCGTTTCTTTTAGGACTACATTTGAATTATTCCATTGAACCCTATGTTCATTATCCCATGCGTGTTTACAGATTTGAGATCTATCAAATTCTTTATTTTTAATATAAGATTGATGTTCACTTATTCTAACATTTAATGGCCTTGATGATTCACCTAAATAAAACTGATCGCATTCACAAGGTATTTTATAAATGCAATTCTTTGTCCTTTCTTGTTCATTGTTAGGTTTGGTTTTGGACAAAATAGATCTCAACGTGTTTGTTGTTTTGAATGTTGTTGAAATGTTGAATTTATTTCCTATCCTTTTAAGTTTTTCTGATAGTCCTTTTATGTACGGTATTGTTATTTTCCTCATATTATGCGATCAGTTTTATTTAGGTGAATCATCAAGGCCATTAAATGTTAGAATAAGTGAACATCAATCTTATATTAAAAATAAAGAATTTGATAGATCTCAAATCTGTAAACACGCATGGGATAATCAACATAGGGTTCAATGGAATAATTCAAATGTAGTCCTAAAAGAAACGGATGGTAAAGAAAGAAAAATCAAAGAAGCGGCTCTAATTATGCTAAATGAGGCCAATTGTGTCGCAAATTCCTCGGCAGAATGTAGTAGGATCTGGTTACCAATATTGAAAGAGGAAGTTATTAATAAGAAAATACCAGTATTAGTAAGTCAGTAACATAATAGAGGATACATCATTTATGTTTTTTAAATAACGTAACACATAAAATCAGAATTTTGATGTTTGTTGAAGGTAAACTAAATTCACGAACAAATACTTACAATGTCGGGATAGTATTATGAGGTTTTTTTCCTGGTTTTCCCTCATAATTTACTATGGAATCACTAACAGGAGAATTTTACTGTCATCATGTCATGTGTTTGTCTTTTTAAAGACGAATTACATGCTATGATTTTTTTCTGACGGATATTCTTAAGTTAAAGTTGATTTCATGTAATCGAATGAACTATCTTATAAGTAAAGTCGTCCCAGGAGCGCAACTCAACAATATTGTACAACAAATAGCTTGCGAAATTTGCTATTTCGCAAGCTATTTGATTTTGATCTATAGAGTTTCAAATATCAATAACCATAGTTTCTCCATCTTGCAGAGAAGCAGGAAGGGGCTGACAAAGTCCTAATTATCTACCGTCAAGTACTTAATAGAATTCTGATCGAGACTGTGAAAAGGTCAAATCAATGTCTGAATATTTATCTCACTTAAATATTCACCACCGACAAGCGATACGCGAGGTCTTGCGATATTATGCATTAAAATGAAATTATTTTCTATATAAGGTGCGAAGTGAACAACGAGTTCAAAGAAACAAAATTTGTGTAATATACCTTACGTTATTTAAAGAGCCTCCATGTAAAGACACCAAATATCTTTTTGCAGACAAGGAAATTCTACCATAAAACATCATACAGCCTCCATTAAACAATCAGGTCTCCCTTATGTTGAACTTTTTTTAAAATGGTCTGCATTCAAAACAGATCCTCGAGATGAGACTCGGATATAAAGTTCTTCCAAAGACGTCTTCTGACAGTGTCAAGGCTGGGCTGAATATACTGAACTAGTGCTCCTCCTCAGTCCTAATCCCTTTTGGGATGTGGTGACACCATCAGACCTTCACAGTTTTTTCACGATTTCCCTCCATCCCTCTCTGTTCTGGGCTAGTTGTTCGGCTTAATGTAACCCTTGGTTAATCAATATTTTTGTTTTATCTACCTAACGTCTTGGAGATCTTCCCCTAGGGCTTTTTTCTTCAACTCTACCCTCGACTATCAGTTTGTTCATCGTGCTTGTTCTTCTAGCAATGTGTCGAAAATACTGCAAATATCTCTTGTATTTATATCTATCTGTTGTATTTGTTTAAGCAATCTTTGTTCTAATATCGATATGTTAGTGCGATGATCAATCCAGGATATTCTCAACATACGGCGGTATACCCACATTTCAAAAGCATCCAGTTTATTTTTATCCGCTTTCTTTAAGGTCCACGTTTCGGAAGCATATGTGGCTATGGAAAAAATGACCGCCCTTGCCAGCTTTAGTTTGGTGTGTATTATTACGCTCAGTTTCATCATGGCTGTTCTAGCAATAGTCAACCTTCTATGTATTTCTCTGTCACACCCTCCGTCATTTGTTATTAGGGACCCCAGGTATATGAAAGTATTTACTACTTCAAAGCCCCCAATTTCTTTAATGTATTGTAGATTATTACGAGCTCTGTCTACTATCTTGATCTTTGTCCTACTCCTATTTAGCTTTAGTCCATATGTTTTGCTTTTTTCCTCCAAACATCTCATTATGTCTTCCATTTCTTCCTGATTTGCCGCGATTATTAAAGTGTCATCAGCATATCTGAAGTTATTGATTTTTTGACCTCCTACTGATATTCCGCCCTTCCATCCGTCTAGTACCTTTCGCATAATGTGTTCGCTATAGATATTAAACAGAGTTGGCGAGATTATGCATCCCTGCCTGAACCTGCCTCTATTCTGAAATGATCGGAATGGGTGTTGTTTATTTTTACTGTGCACTTATTATTTTTATATAGACTTCTAATTAGTTAAATTAAGTGGTGAGGTGTTCCCATTTCCGCTAGTATGGACCATAGCTGCTACCATTTGAATTTATCGAAAGCCTTTGTGTAAACCACAAAGCATATAAGCATAAGAGTATTGAATTCACAAGTTTTTTCGATTAGTTGTCTGACATTAAGGATGTGTTCTTTTGTGCCTTTTCCTGGGACAAATCCCGCTTGCTCTTCTGATATCTAAGGCAATAGAAAAGCTTTTAATCTTATATATATATATATATATATATATATATATATATATATATATATATATATATATATATATATATATATATATATATATATATTAAATGAAGTAGAACCTTGCTTGCATGGGATATTAGGGTTACCGTTCTGTAGTTGCTGCCATCTAGCGGAGTTTCTTTTTTGGATATAGGGATATATCCATACTTGCTTCACACCTTTTTAACTGTAGTAACCCCGGTTTCATCTAAGTTGTAAATATCGTTTGGTCCAAGATTGTGTTTAATAAATTGAAGAGTTGATCAAAAAATAAATTTTTATTGTACCACTGAAAGTTTATGGCTCGCCCTAACTTCGTAGCCTAAGTGAGAGCGCCCACCAAAGTGGCGTGGCAGTGGCAAGTAGCAAGTAGCACGCGTCTAGCATAATGTAACCAATCTTAACGAATGATTAGAATGAATGTCGTTACTGTCATTTTGGTGTAAACTGAATCATTCGTTTTCATTGGTTACATTATGCTAGACGCGTGCTACTTGCTACTTGCCACTGCCACGCCACTTTGGTGGGCGCTCGCCCTAAGAGGTATGAATGGATAACTTATTGTGGCATTTTAAAAAATTTGTTAGCCAGTCATCAGAGGCAGTCTCAAATTTGGCCCAGTTATCAGAACCAGTTACGTTATTTTTTAAAGCAAACTAAACAGCAAGTTGTTTAAGATCTTTTGTGGAAAGACCCAAGACTAACATAAGAAGCTAATTCATTTTTTTGTAGATCAGAGAAGATCTTCCGATTTTTTAAAAATCTTGTGGGCATGGTATTATTAGCATCTAAAAAAAATTTAAGGAGGCATATGCTACACATAGAAATAAAATTCACGATTTTACTACTCACTATCAAGCCCAATTTTCTGGATCCATTTCACGTATCTCTAAAGCGTTATAAAATTAATCCCTTATTCATCCGCTACTGGTTTAAGAGGTATTTCATTTTCTATCACTTTTTTTGCTGCAGCAATAACGATTTCCTGTGGCGTTTCACCATGAACAGTTTTTCTCTTGTAGGTTCTCATTTTGATCTATTAAAAATTTACAATTTTATTTACAACAAAGAGATGTCGGACATCCAGTTTATATGTGTTTTATTGACTATGAGAAGGACTTTAATCGAGTAAAACATACTGAAATGATAGCCATTTTTCAGCAGGTGGGTTTTAATGATAAACACTTACGCATTATTAAAAATCTTTACTGGCATCAACGTGCAAACATCAGGATTGGCTGGGACACTTCTGAAGAGCTTCAAATACGAAGAGGAGTAAGGCAGGGCTGCATTTTGCCCCGCTACTACTTAACATCTATTCTAAGTTCGTTTTCAATAAAGCACTGGACAATGTTCAATGTGGTATACAAATGAATGGCGTCAATATTAATAATTTGAGATATGCGGATGACACAGTGTTAATTGCAAGCAATTACGAAGAACTTCAACATCTAATTAATAGGATTACCACAACGTGTGATGAATATGACCTTAAGCTAAACACCGCAAAGACAAAGGTGATGGTGGTCAGTAAAACGCCAATACAACCGGAAGTGGCAACAGCTTATATTGAACAACTCGAGAGACCTAACAGTATCACTTACCTTGGTTGTAATCTAAACAAGAACTGGGACATAAGCAAAGAAATTAGAATACGGATAGAGAAAGCCAAAGCTGCATTCTTTAAGATGAAGAAACTGTTATGTGGAAACAATATTACTTTAAGTCTGAAAAGTAGATTAGTGAGATGTTATGTGTTCTCTACTCTTTTGTATGGTGTCGAAGGTTGGACTTTGACGGATACACTTCTCAATAAACTGGAATCCTTTGCAATCGGGATGTATCGGGAAATCATATAAATAAGTTGGCTGGATAGAGTTCGTAACGAAGTTGTTGTGCATCGGATGAGAAAAGTTACAGAAGTCGTCAAAACAGTTAAAAATCGCAAACTTAAATATTTTGGCCATGTTATGCACCACCCAGAGAGATATAATATACTTCATTTAATAATACAAGGCAAGGTAGACGGAAGAAGAGGGCCAGGTCGAATAAGAACGTCATGGCTTAGAAACCTGAGAGATTGGTTTAACAGATCCTCTGTATCTCTTTTCCGAGCTGCCGTTTGATAGCCAACGCTCGATAATCGAGCTCGGCACATGAAGAAGAAGAAGATTTACAACAAAATCTAGGTTACTAATTAACCTAAACACATATTTCTTGAGATGGGGCAGATTGTTACAGTAACAACTTTCTTACAAATTGTAACAACCGCTGCAGGACGCCATATTAAAAATAAATTGTAATTGCTCATCAATATCAAATATTTAATCTTGTACGTATAGATAATAATAAAGTTAACAGTCAGTGAAATATGCTGTGAAAACAATAAGTTACCTTACCTTGTAAAAATAGAACCAGCACAAATTTAAACAAAGACGGAAAAATTACTGAAGGCTACTGAAAACACAAAAATGGTTAATTTACGTCAGAGCCTTAAACCACACTAACCAAAGTTCGTTAAGATGTAGTGAGATATGCACCGCATTGACTACGTCAAGTTAAAGGTGCTGCCATCTCGTAAGTTGATTAAAATTAAATGTAACAACCTGCCCCGTGTAACAACTAACCCCGGTCTCCCCTACAGTGAAATAGTAAAAGTGATTGCTCGTTAAAATGGTACAATGGTAAAAAAACGCTACTGAAAAGTGAAGGGGAGAACTTTGTGCTGCAATATCTCAGCTTGTCTTTGTTATCAGTCATAAAAAGTTCTGTTTTCTTTTGGAAAATGTGCTTTTTCACCAGCTTTTTATTGAGCCTACATACAACCCTGTGACATAAAAAAATATCAAAATTTTTATAAATGTTTAGAAGCTAGTAAGTCAGGATATTTTCAAATTGTTTTCAATAATAAATTTAATACAATAGTGAAGTTTTTTAATACATATTATAAATGACACCTTAAAGAATCGATTGCGACTTATAAGATACTTCTAGAGTGACTGTTTGGGCAACCACAGTGGTTTTAATAATAAATTGTTTATCCCTCCGAGATAAACAAATTGAATAACTTATAAACTAAAATAGCTTTTTTTATATAATTATCTGAATCAACTGTTTATGTATTTTATTTTGGAGACTCTCACAATAATAGTATATTACTTTATGAGGCGGAGAAGCATGACCTTTCTTGACGCGCCCGATATTACGCGCCGAATGAAGTGAGGCGCGTAATAGAGGGCAAGTCAAGAAAAGTCGCTTCTTTGCCGAATAAAGTATACTAGTTTTTCTTCAAACGTAGCAATTTTCAACCATAAATAGTACAATTCATACGCTATTTTTACTCGAAATTAAACTGTGACAACTATCAAAGTCGTCTAGATGTTAGAAATTAAAATAATTAAGTCGTTGGTGGGATTTGCGTCTCCCTGGTTACAGTTGTTTGACAGTTGTTTCCAATTATTAAAGACAGCTTATTGTTGTTGCAACCGCAAGCGCAAATTTAGTGCGAAAATGGAAAACCTAAACGAAATTGAGTCCGCGGCTAATGATGCAGTAGCACGTTTGGGGCCCTCCAAGTCCGGAATAAAGTATCGGTTAGCGTACAAGCACTTCCAAGAGTGGTGCGATACCAGAGAAGTACGGCAAGTTACCGAAGACGTTTTACTGGCATATATTTTAATATAATGAAAAATGGAAATCTTCTACAATGTGGTCACGATACTCTATAATAAAATCCGAATAGTTATTAGAACAAATGTGGATATAAGCAAATTTTTAAAGTTACATGCCTTTCTGAAAAAAACAAGCAAAGGATATACTGCAAAGAAGTCTAAAGTTTTCACTAAAGACTTTTTTGATAAATTTTTGTTTGAAGCGCCAGATAAGTTGTATTTAGGATTAAAGGTAAAAAAAATTATATTGCAAAGCATGTAGTATACTCTACTAAATTATAAAAATATTTCAGATTGTTTTGTTAATTGGGGTTACCGGCGCCTGTCGATGCGACGAAATGGTAAAAATAAAGACTGTGGACATTGAGGATAAAGAAAATGTAATAATTATCAAAATCCCAGACGGTAAAACACCACAAATTAGATCTTTTACGATAATTGGTCCAAACTACATTAAACTGTATAAAAAGTATGCATCACTGCGGCCTGAAAATTTCACAGAAAACCGATTTTTTATCAAGTACCAAAATGGAAAGTGTTACCGAAGCGTCATGGGAATACATTCGATCAGCGCACTAGCCTAAAAAGTAGCTAGTTATTTCAATTTAAACGATGCAAGCGCATACACGAGTCACTCTTTACGACGAACTTCAGCAACACTTTTAATTGATGGAGGCGGAAATCTAGAATGCCTCAAACGACATGAGGGCTGTGTAAATCAAGCACGTTTGCCGAAGGATATATAGAGGATTCAATAAGAAATAAGAACGATAATGCTCAAAAAATTTTAAACCCTCATGATTCGCCAACATCTGGAATGAATGCTGAAAGTTGTTCTCGACCATAAGTATCATCAACAATTACCAATGCGTATCAAGAGTCTGGTCCATTTTTGCACGGTTTCAATTTCGAAAATGCTTCATTAACTAATTGTACTTTTAATATTACTATAAATAAAAATGATGTTTAATTATTGTTAATGACATTTGTATTGTTGCTTTGTGACATGTTTCATATTGTTACCATGACAACATTTTTCCCTCCGCCGTAAAGAAATGGGAAAAAAAACTGCTGTCGGCGGAGACATCAAACTTTGACAGGATCAAGTTAGATAAGTAATGTCATCATTATTTGACGTTTGAAAAAAAAGAACTTTTTATGATTTACAACTCTTATTTAACATGTTTTTCTAAAATGTATAATAAACTTTTTATATGCAAAACAAATATGTTTTTCACTTTTTGAGATTGTTAAAAAAAACAAAAAACGAAAGCAAAATCAGCTGTACATCTTCACAGATTTTTGATCAGCTACTCTTCATATACCTTTTAGAACCTTCAAATATCTGTATAAAACTGTTTCAGCTTTTTGTCTTAATTGGCTGGGGTAATATAATATCGAGAAAGAATAAGAGGTTATTTTTTGCTTGATTTATATGGACAATGATAAATCAATAATCTATAATAATTGATATCGTTGCTCTAACACTGTGCTGTTACTTGACTTACCAGTTGCTGTAACCATGGACACTTTATTCAAAATTATTAGCTAAATTACCAGCTAAGATATCTACTAAAAATACTGCAGATTGTTTAAAATATTTTGATTTATATTTTACTCTTTAATCCTCTAATACTACAACCATATTCCTTTTTCGATTTGAATTTGTTCGTTATTTTGATGTAGTTTGATGAAGTGAAAAATTAATGACCTTTTTGATATTCTAGAAGTTAAAAACGATGACAGTCCGCTGATTTTAGTCCGCGAACGTCTGCAGCCCGACGACGCTGCAGAATTAGATGCAGTTATAGAAGAGGCCCAAGACGCAAAGTCAGCAGCAGAGGAAGCCAAAGACGAAGCCTCAGAAGCTAAGGATGCCGCTGATTTAGCTAACGAAGAAGACAAATCAATAGAAGATGACTGTTCCGAAGATGTGGTTATCGATCCTGACTGTGAAGACGGTAACTATATAATTTTAAGGTTTTGTGACAGTGGGTTAGTTAAGTATGAAAGCCCTACTACATATTAAACTAATACAGTTTGTCCCAAACCCTTTTTTCAGTGCGTCACTAATTTTGACGTCATATAGGATTTTAAGAATGTCGAGAATTATTGCATGACATTTTAGTTAAATCTGACAGTTGTAGGATCGTAATCGGCTAAACGTGAAAAGGTTATTTTTTTTAATGCATAGCAGTTTGTCCTAATTCTATTCTATTCTGTTCTATTTTATACATTCCATGGAAAGTGCTTAATTAGCTAAGATTTGTTTATGGATTTATTATTATTTATTACAAACACTAGGGAATTGGAAGGTTTGTTTATTTAAAATAACGCTTCCTCCTAGAATCTTTTAAGAGTTGACTGCAAGGTAAAAAAAATTACTGACAATTGCAAGGTATCAAAGTAAACATTCCTGCGATAAAATAATATCGATTTAAATCAGTCATATTTGGATAAGGAATTTTCTGATAAGTTTGTGTGGCAGCCAATAGTTTAATTTTGTGAAGAGTTGTCATTAAATAGTGGAAATAGTTTAAATAGTGAAGCAGTTGATTTTTGAGTTATTCTACCAGATTTGGTGTGCAAATGAAAGAAGGTTATAAAGTTTAGTTAAAAAAACAATATAAATAGTTTAAATAGTGAAGCAGTTGATTCTTGAGTTAATCTACCAGTTCCGATATCCAGATGAAATCGTGTTAATGGAGTTTAGTTAAAAAACAAGATACAGAATGTAAGTTTACCTTCTTTTTTATGAATAACAAAAATGAATATTATATTTCAAACAATCTATAATCCCATTCAGAATCTGATTCTTGAAAATCAATTATTACACTAGATATGTGGCTGGTATCAATTATATCCTACATTTCAAGAAAATGTCGTGGTTCTAAAAAGAACCGTTTTAATACATATAAATATCCATAAAGGAATTAGTTTAAGATATTTCCTCAATATCATTCCGGAATTCACAATCTGATTCGCGAGCGACAGAAACTGAAATAAAGATAACTCAGCCTCATTTTCTAATTGAAACTAATTTAATAATTTTAATATTAGTCTTTTTTCATTCTCGGAATATTTAAAATATTTTTATGACAATAAATACAGAATTTAATTTTCACTGTAGTTAAAATGTCTGAAAATACTAACCTGGAATGGCAATTATCATTTTATCAGTTGTTGTGAAAGTACTGTCACTGTCATTATCAAGATCATCTGTGTCAAATTATATTTATATGCATAATTGATTGGATATCTATTTAGCATATTCTAAACTCCAACCAATTATACGTTCGTAAGTAGAATTCGCTTTAATATGCGAATACCCGTAAACGATACCTAATTTTCTAATTTCTATGTATAATAATAAGCGACTCACGTTTTTTTCTGTCACTTCTAGGTTAATGCGTTAGAGAGAATTCGAACAACTATGACCATCGAGCAATAAGACAAAAGAGGGAATCTAATCGTTATAAAAAGGAGACCAAAAAAGTGGCCTCTGATGGCGGACACATCCGGAAATGCAAAGGCGCCAAATTTAAATTTTTCGACACTTATCAACAGTAGCTATATAATATTTTTCAAAATGTGTCTTAGACGAGAAAGTTTTAATTAATTATTAATGATAAGAGTCTAAAATGCGACACAATTGTTAAAAAACTTCAATATAAATAAGATTTCATGTGACATTTGGGACAAACAATAACATAACCCAACTAAATTTGATGTCAAACAAGGAGAGAGACTCTCTATCCTTGTCTAAAGTGGCCTCTCAAGATGGCACTTCCTGTCTATCAATATGTTTACCCCTTCTACCTTTACATTCCCTCTTTTGTCTTATTGCTCGATGACTATGACGCACTGAAAAAATTGTTTGGGACGGACCGTAGTTTAGCTTATGCACAACCCATTCTATAAAAATATAAAATGCTAATGAAGTTTGCAAAATTTATTAGATACTTTGGCAATCTTCCTTTAAGGTAACATATACTTTAACAGTATATTTGACTGCTTTTGTATTCATAACCCTGTCTGGTTAAAAAATAGGTCGAACAATTTTTCGCAGATATCTGAAGCTTTTAAGACATAGGTGGGGGTTACTAGGTAACGAATATATGAAAAAGTACTCGTATTTACCTTGCGTTTTTTAATCAATGATTTATGGTCACAATTTGATTTGTTCTCTATAAGTTTTTTCCCTTGTATTTTACATAAACAATATTTATATCATTTGTTAATATCAAGAATATCTTAATTTGTTCGTGTTTTAAATTAAGATTGTTAAATAATTTGTGGAGATATTTGCAAAAAAGCAGTTTTTGCACTAATTTATATACGTTATCAATTTTTTTATTAACAAAATAAAATGTTATTAATACATTTGAACATCAAGGAATTCATCATCATCATCTTTGGCTCTATAACCCTGGATGGGTCTTGGCCTGTTCAAGAATTAGTCTCCATTCCCCCCTATATTTCGCATTGGCTTTCCAATTTCTGACCCCTAGATTCCTCAAGTCATCTTCGACCTGAGTTTTGAATCTTGATCTTGGCCTGCCTCTCGTCCTGGTTTCTACTGACTCTTGATAGAATATCTGTTTTTGGGGGTCTCCAGTGTCCATCCTTCCAAGGTGTCCTAGCCACCGTAGTCTATTAATTTTAATAGACCGGACGATGTTGCATTTTTTATAGCATTGATACAACTCAAAATTGTAGCGCCTGCGCCATATCCCACTTTCTTGTACTCCTACGTATATGTGTCTAAGTATTCGTCTTTCAAAGCGGCTTAACAGTTCGTCGTCGCTTTTTATCATAGTCCATGTCTCTGACGCGTATGTCAGACAGGTTTAATAAGAGTTTCATATATTAGTATCTCGGTTTTTCTGCTAATTATGTGTGATGTTAAGAACTGCTTTAGTCTAAAGTATCACTAACAGGAGAATTTTACTATCATCATGTCATGTGTTTGTCTTTTTAAAGACGAATTACATGCTATGATTTTTTTCTTACGGATATTCTCAAGTTAAAGTTGGTTTCATGTAATCGAATGAACTATCTTATAAGTAAAGTCGTCCCAGGAGCGCAACTCAACAATATTGTCAATATAATTTTAAAGTCGTCTACTTTAAAATGCATAATGTATGTCTGAATTGTCAATATAAATGAGTCAGATAAAATTAAATTATTAGAAGAATTTTTCACTATGTAACAAAAAACAAAATTTGTTTAATTTACTGTTTGTATTTTGAGAACGATTTCCGAAGTGGAAATTGAAAAGCCAATAAACGTATTTTTATCTTTAATTGTGGCTTATTCCCAGTTAAATAGTAATTTACAAAGAATGATGGAAGAACTAGATAGAGAATCGACAAAAATTGGACTCAGGATGAATTACAGTAAAACAAAAACCATGACTAATCAACCAAAAGAACTAATAATTACAGTGGCACAAACAAGAATAGAACAAGTAAAAGAGAATATATATATATATATATATATATATATATATATATATATATATATATATATATATATCTAGGGGCCAAATCACTAAATGAAATAAAGAAAATCAGACCGAAGAAATAAAGAGAAGAATAATATTGGCCTGGGCGTCATTCGGAAAACTGTCTTATATTCTACAAAATACCCCCAAAATACTTCTTCAATCAATGTATACTTCCTGTCCTCACATATGGCTCTCAGACATGGACGTTTACAAAGGAAAATATGGAAAAAAATAGCAAAGACAGAAAGATCTATGGAAAGACAAATGCTGAACATTGAAACTATCAGACAGAAAAAGAAACCAATGCATCCGTAATTAAACAAAAGTCAAAGATGTCTCAACCTAAGTAGCAAAGCTTAAATGGAAGTTCGCCGGACACACCCTAAGGCAGAAAGATAAAAGATAAACTAAGACAATTATACCTTGGAGACCATGGAATCACAAACGAAAAAGGGGAAGGCCACAAATGCGATGGTCAGATGAATTGAAGAAACACGCCGGGTCAAAATGGATGCAAATTGTCCAAGATAGAGAGGTATGGAAGAAGAAGGAGGAGGCCTATATCCAAGGCTGGATGTTTAGGGCTGTATAGATAGATAGATAGATATACTTATATATGTGATATATCTCATAGTTGTACCTCCTTCTCCAAACACCATTTTCACAGATGCCACCGAATATTCTTCTCAGGATCCTTTGTTCAAATATAAGCAGGAGCAATCCATATATCAACACTGGTTGTATAAGAGTTTTGTATATGGTTATTTTTGTTTTTTGGCTTAAGTTTCTGCTTCTCAGATATCTACCCAATCCAAAATACCATTTGTTTGCTAGGATTATTCTTCGCTTGATTTCTTCCATCATGACGTTCTCCTTAGTAATAAGGAAGCCTAAGTATGTGAATTTGTCCACCACTTCAAAGGTAGAGTTATCAACAGTGAATTGGTGGCCGATATTTCTGGCACTATTGTTGGGTGTTGATGCCATCATCTTAGTTTTCTCCTCATTTACTTCACTTTTCTTCACTTCACGTTCATTTACTATTTTATTATCATATCTGGGCTAATTGCCATATGTTCTTTCTAATTCATCATAGAAATTGTCTTTTTCTTCGTCTTCCTTGTCCTCCGTTGGAGCATGTACATTATTAAGGCTAATATTAAAAAACTTGCCCCCGATCCTTAAGCAGCTCATTCGCGGATTTATCGACTTAAAATCTATAACCAAGTGCTTGACTTTATTATTGACTATAGAGGCTGTCCCAAATTCATGTCTGGTTCTATGGCAACTATAGTATATATTGTAGTTTGCTTTTTGGATTATGCCATGGCCTTTCCATCGCACTTCTTGTATTGTAGTAATATCAGCATTATATTGTGCTAATATGTCACACAGTTTGCTGATGTTTCCAGGTTCGTTAAGTGTGCAAACGTTCCAGGTAAATACATTAAG